CATTTTGGGGAAGCCGCTTTGCTCCTACAGACCCCCATCCTCTCCTCCCCAAGAGAGCCCACTCTTAATCAACAGAAGCGCTCAAAACCCAGACACCTTGGGTCCTCTCGTTTCCCGCAAACAGCCCCCCCGGCAAGGGGGACGCTCCCGCTTGCTCTCTCCCCCCCCCCGCGATTTGGCCCATGGTACGGTCCACTTCTGGAGCCTCCCCGAGGGTCCCCTGCCCTGATCTGGGCTTCGGGCTCTGCCTCGTTGCCCTCCCGTTTGCTAGGTGGCCAAGGGCCCGCTCAGCCTTCAGCCCGGCCTGCCTCTTGGATCTTTGGTGCCACTTTGGGGGAGAATCGACGCTGCTTTTGGAAAGGATGGAGGGGGGGCAGTTCTCCCGTGAAATGGGGTGTGGGTGGAAGAGAAGAGGGGGGGACCTTAAGGCTAGCCTCAGGGGAAAAAAATGAGAAGCTAAAAGAGCACCCCTGATCGTTTTCTTAAATTAATTAATTAAATTTATATGCCACCCACACTACCCAAAGGTCTCTGGGCGGCTTACAACATTTAAAATACAACAGAAATTCAGAACAATTAAAATGCAATTAATATATATATATATAATTTGGAATCCTACCCACCCAGCCTCCTTCCTTGAGCTATAGAAAAAAAAAGCTGTAAGGATCATTCCAAAGGTGGACAAACCAAGGTTGCCAAATGTCTTTCCTGGCCAGGCTCTTTTCTCATTCCAGAGCAGGTATGAAACTGGACTGGGAAACTGTAGCACTCCGGATGCTTTCTGGGCCTGGATCCCCAGCATCCCCATCAATAAAATCTGGACACTCCCCTCCCCCCAATTTTAAGGCAATCCATGTCCTTTTGGGAGTGGGACAGTGTCAGTGACATTTTACAACAACAAGATAACGTTTTGTACCACATCTCGTATATCTGCTAGGTTTTTAACTTTGTTCTTTGGGGAAATCCAAGTACTTATGCTTTCCTACAGCAGACTGATGTTTCCATGAGTGAAGTCTCAGAGCAAATCCGCTTGATGTTTAAAATACAGCTGTAGAGATTTGCATGGAACACTGGGGGTCAACTCAAACTTTTTTGGGGCCAGTGTGCACTCAATCGTGCTAGAAAAACACAACTGTTTGTTTCTCCGTGCGTTTCAGAGCCCAGCAAAATCAGCAGGACTAGCGACAGCAGCTTCGGAAACCAAATTGTTTGGTGTCGGGTCTGAGAACATACAACAGCTTTCTTTTCTCCAATTTGGAAAATCAAGAAACAGCTATACAACTTCAAGAAAGGTGTTGACAAAAGTAGCATATATATATATTTTTGGTTTAGCATTATCCTCATGTGTTTTATCAGCAAATCTGACCCCACAGAAGGTACTGGGATAAAGATGCTATGTTTAATGCTAGGGAGCATGCCCCTGTGAACACCGTGGGGTTGAGGATTTGAGAAGCATGTAAGGGGTTTTCTCATTCTTGTGTTGTCAGGGAGGAAAAGCTTGACCTCCAAACTTAGGACATGCTATCAAAAGCCACAGAGGGAGGGCCAGTATAAAAAGGTGCCAACCCTGTACAACACCATTGGCATATTTAATTTCACAACAACCCAGCGCAGACTGGGAGTGATTGGAATGGACTAAACTGAATGAAGGCATTAGGTAAATATGATTTTTTTAAAAATTAAATTGAGGGGAAAAGTCATCCTCCACCCCACTGACACAAATTCTTCCTCTAGTAGTTCCAAGATGACCCGAGGCCCAGCCTAAAGAGACATGCCAGCTAGGATTGTCCTCTTCCATCAGTTGAACATCTCTAGTAGAGGACACAGCAGCCATGCACCTCTACCTACAGTCCTCCCTCCCAAGATTCTTCCACTCCCCAGAAAAACTCACGACGAAAGCGAAGCCTCGAAAGAAAACGTTTCTGCAGGTCTTACCTTTCGGCACTCTCATTCCCATCTCCAGCCCTCGTGGGGCGCCAGATCCGTTGCTTCCCTCCGCCACCTTCCTCCTCTGTCTGACACACACACTCTGGTCTCAAAAAGGCGTTCTGGAGGTTAAGGAGAGGAAGCAAAGCTGTAGTTTATACCAGCAAGAGGAAGTAGCCATACAACCCACTGACGAAGAACCACGCCCCCTTCGACTACCTGTCTACAAATAACATGCTTTCTAAAATAGTATAGGATTCAAAAGGCAGATAAGAGTTCTAGGGAAAGGGTCCAAAAATGCCCAGGGTGGGGGAGAATTAATGCACAACTTCCAGAACCCCTAAGCAGGTAGCCTGCTATGTGTTTGCATTAGCTGCAGCTGCTATATACATTTACCTGGGAATAGTCTTCATTGCACATACAGTGGGATTTAAATTTCTTTGTTACATTTATATTCCACTTTTCTCCAGTAAGCTTAAGGCAGCATACATGGCTTTCCTGCACCCCACTCTATTTTTGCAACATCTATGTGAGATAGATCGGGATGAAAGGAAGTGACTGCCCCGAGGCCACCATATGGGTTCCGTGGCTCACTGAGGACTAGAATGTCAAACTCTCCAGTTTGACTTGATCATTCTTACGGTGGCACCACCATAGCTCTTTCAATTCTTGATACAACAAATTCTGCAGCACTTCTATTTGTATCTGTTTCCTTGTGCCCTTCCTTTTGATCTGAGAAAGGCTAGAAGTGAATTCACTATACTATATTTGACTTCCTTTGAATGCATGAGCACAAGAGACCTCCTGTGTTGTTGCATTGCTTGCTTTAATTAGAAATACAAAACAGAGCTTAAGGAGGCAAGCTACAATTCAAAGGCAGCAGACCCGTCACTCCTCCATCTCATCCCTAAAGAGAGACTATGTGTCAGCTTTTATTCAGCTATATTGCTAGTTGAAAATAATTCAAACATTTGGGTCATGCCAGGTTTCCCAACTCAGTTAATATAGTTGTTGTGGGTTTTTCGGCCTGTTTGGCCGTGTTCTGGAGGATTTTCTTCCAAAGGTTTGCGAGTCTCTGTGGCTGGCATCTACAGAGGACAGGAGCTAGAATTCTGTCTGTATTCTGGTACACCAGTACAGCTTCAACAAAAAAGAAGAAAGTCTAAAAATCAAGAACGCCTGGCTCCCAGCACTGAAAAATGCAGCCTGCAAGTCTAACAATCAAGCACGCCTGGCTCCCAGCACTGAAAAATGCAGCCTGCAAAAGAAATCAATGAGCTCTACCCAGCCACAAGGACCAGTGATCACTGCACACAAAAGACTAGCCAACAACATTTGTGAGGAACGTGTCTAAACAGCCTTGTTTGCAGCTTCTTAATGTACCATATTTTTCTTTGGATAAGACACTACTTTTTCCTAAAATCATTACACTAAAAATTTAGGGGCGTCTTACACACGGAAGTAAGATGAGAACACAGAGAAAACAAAACTGCCCGTATCTTGCTTTTGTAAACAGGCTTCCTTCAATTACGATGCTTAGCTTCCTATAGACAGGAAACTTAGCTTCCTCTAATCACGAGCCTTATGGGACTGATGTCAGCTGATGCTGAGAAAACCAATTGGAACACACGTCGTTGGAGGTGGAGCCAGTAGGCTGAGATGCAACAGAGACTTGTAATGTCTGAGTGTTCTGATCCCAGAGGTGGGTGTTCTGATCCAAGAGGCTGAATACTGAAATCTAAGTTTTCTTAATTTTGGGGTTAGAATAGTGTATGGGGGGCTTATAAATGGGGGTGTCTAATAAACGGAAAAATGTGGTAGGTTTGTAGCTCTGCAGGAGGTGCAACTACAGGAAAAATACCTTATAAGCTGTAAACAAGGGCAGAGTGGCAATTTCCTCCTCTCATAGTCTGAGCAAATAGAGTCCTGTGCTCAGTTTAAAGAAAAAAGTAAAGCTACTGTGGAGGATTTTCAAAAATCCTCTCTTAGCATGTCTGGGGGGGGGGACTTTGTCCTTGTACCAAAGGTAGGAGTGGTTTTTGTGTTGAGGAGAAGTGATCTATGCCTCTTGAGGAGGGACAGTGGGGAAATGCAAGGGAAAATCTATCCTTTGCTTTTTAAAAATTCTGCAGATCTAATTGTTTTAAGTGACTACGCAAAAGCCTTTGACTGTGTGAACCACAACAAAATATGACAAGTTCTTAAAGAAATGGGAGTGCCTAATCACCTTATCTATCTTATGAGAAATCTATATACTGTATTGGACTGGAAGCAACAGTTGGGACTAGATATGGAACAACTGATTGGTTCAAAATTGGGAATGGAGTACGACAAGGCTGTATACTGTCCCCCTGCTTATTCAACGTATATGCAGAATACATCATGC